TAGTCCCAATTATTATGTACACTTTTGAGCAATTAATAAAGTTAGGGTGGCCGATACTTTTGTCCAGGTAGTGTATATATATCCTTTACAGTTGTTTGTTCAAGAGAAAAAAAACGATAATACGTAATCAGAATGTCAGGCAGTATATCCTTTGGGCGCCTTCGGCAGCGGAACGCGACCATTACTAGGCATCACGTAGTAACCTGGCTAGCTGCCAAAGGAGCATCGGACGCGACCATCACTAGGCGACAAGCAGCAACCCAGTTAGATGCTACACCTAAACTTATGCAATGCTTTACATACTTGCCAGCCGGACGACAGAATCTTTTTCGCTTGAGCGGCATCGCAATCTCCTCTCTTTGCACGTTGCTGAAGGCGCGACCAACTTTGGAGTCGAGACAGCAGTTTGCCGCGATAGCATCATACGTCCAATTTTCTGCGGGTTTGTCGAAGAGCGTTGACATGTCAGAAAGATGTTTTATCTGGTACTTGCAGCCAGAATAGAAGTTCTACGCGTTCGCGATCACAAACCTATAGTATCTCACGTGATGTGGAAGGTTAATTAAACATTCTGTCGATCCTTTTTTCTTATTTCGCGAATACTCGGACAACGTGTTACTAGTTGTTACTAGGGACTACAAACTCAATAGAAAGTTTTTATACGAAGTAAAAGCTTATGTCGAAACGGAGTATCGGGGCGATTTTACATATTATTCGAATCCGTGTATAGAATCATTTTTCAATATCACTAAAAACGTAGATAAAAATGGCGTATTATTCTTATACTCCTTCAAGCAATTGACTATGACATCAAGCAAATGCAATAATTTTTTATTCTCGATCAGCATATATCATATGAATTGTGGTACTGTATCTTAAATAATAATAACAAAGCTAATATAAAACAGATCGATAGGAATGGGGTTAGGTAGAGGAAGTGATGAAATAACAACATTAGGTACTCCATGATAGAGGCACTCCAGTTGAATATTGATGACATTTTGTCCAAGTTGTAGTTGATAATGATTGGATTTCCCTGGCGGTCAACCGAGCCGAATTCATACTACAAAGTACACAATAACAGTTCAAACATACCATTGTGGGATTTAATACGCCAACAGCTGTTACTATTACATTATTTATGCAGTAATGCCAGGCCTATTAAGAATAAAAGCTATTCAGATAGTGTCAAAGCAAATTGAGCAGAGTTGAATCCCTTTATCATACTTACAGTCATGCACATTGGAGTTGTAACTGATGTGATAGGTTCTATTTTAATCACAATAACATCATGAGCTCGGCCATTCATAAACCAATACTTTTCAACTTTATCCTTGACATGCGCTTCCGTTTCTGCATATGCTACTAAATTTGGCCAAGGCTGATTCTAAAAAACGTAAGGTCATTGTAAACGCCAAACAATCACATCAGGAAATAAACAGAAACTTTTCATACCTTTCCATCAGATCCGCCTCTATTTACTCGAGGTTTTGCCACTGATCGAAATGAAGCATCCGCTTCTTTAGCGATTTCATGTGACCTTGTTGCTTTTTTAGCCGAAGATAGTTAGTAACGGGAAAATATTCAAAATTAAAAAAAAAAAGCAAATTACTTGTTGTTCCAAAGTCAACAATGTCATAATTAGTACACATCGCATTTTCAGTTGCCCTATGAATTTGCCAGATAATGGCACGAACACTTCTTTCATGGAATGACAAAGGAAGTTCAATTACACGAACGAGCCATGTATATTGCATTTATCCGTTTTTTCGACATAATCTTCCCAAGAAACGTCGATAGCAAGCTTATAAGGTAAACTTTATAACAAAATAACGGAAATTTAGCTCATAAAATAGTAAATTATCGAATAAGTAGGAAAGAGATTTTTTTACCTTGCTTCTTCCCAATTGGCCTTTTGGTGGTATTTGCCGGTTTTCCACCAGTATTTGCGATGTTTTTTCAACTTAACCGTCTCCTTATTTTGAGAGGTGGCGATATTTTGAGAGGTGGCAATAGTAGTTTGAGAGTCTGGCATCCTAATTATTCTTCTCCATAAAAAAGAATTTTAACGTTTTGTTGACAAACATTACGCATGATCATCACTATCATCACTTGAATAGTTTTAATTTCTCGCTACTACGGAGTTTTTATGCTAACAAGAGGTAAGTATAGAGAGACATATAATAAAGCTCTACTTATACGGATTACCGAACCGATTCATATAACAAGTTATATCATTATATAAATTATATTCGCTAAATATGTCTGGTTCTGATATCGCTATTATTCTCGACAAAAAAAATAATAAAACATTACCCAGACCCTTTAATAACCACCAGCATTTCTCCGTCTAAACGCTCCAGGTTATCTCAGTTAACAAAAGAAACAATAAACACACCACCCGCATCGAATTCCATAAAACAAAAAACCGACGAAACCACAACGGAACATCAACCAAACAACGATATAAATGAAAATCGACCATCCGAACATACCACTAACACTAAACAATCGGTGAATTCTATAGCAGAACTGGCAACCTCGAGGATTAAAGGCCCAAAATACCCCAAGCGAACCCCCTGTAAAGGAGACACGATTCAAACAATCATTCTTACACAGACTTATATTGTAATAATTCATTCATTCAATACTATATGTATGAAATCACAAATTTCACTACAAAATAAATTATCTCGTCAGATTCACATGACCACCCACGAAAACTTGCATTTATCCAATTACATATTTCCAACGTATCAACTAATGCTAATAACATTGATACCTGTAATGAGGGGGGGGGGTACTTTACTTGGACAGAGTATTATAAAGTACCCTATACCTCGACACATAGTTTTTTAACTGATAGAACTGAATTCACTGGTGATGGAGGAATTGACATATATTCCTCATTTCATGAATACCAATTCTGATTCAATGTAAATGTCTTCAAAAGAAGTTTCAGTTGGAATTGTTAGACAATTAAAAGGAACGTTAACGAATACAAATTAATTAGGATGTATTGTATTAAAAAATGGGGTTCCTAAATCAGCAATTCTATATGCTGAAATGATATCAATATCTGTAGTAAAATTAGAAACTATTGTTATAATAGTAACAACAGAAATAGTTTATGCAAAACGCGAGAGATTTCTAACTTAGAAATTTCTTTAGATAATGAAGAATTTAAAATATATAATTTTATTACTATATCTGGGAAAGGGAAATCAACAATTCGAATCGGGAAATGATTTCTTATGAGTAAAGATTATTCCGTTATTCATTAGATAATAATAGACTTCATTATGTTATCTAATCCGTTGAAATATTAATATTAACAATTTTTGATTAATAGATGTAGTTAGTTACATCTTCTTTGTTTTGGTTAAGACTTAACCAGATTAATACAAGAAAGAAAATGATATCAACATTATAAAAATGAAAGAAAAAAATATTGTTAGAGCTATTATTATCGAGCGGATGTGACTCGATAAAGTTGATCAAATCCGAATACATATTTAATTCATCCGTTAGGATGATGTTATATTAAGATGATCTTGCTCTATCCTTTGCGCAATCCGTAAAAATGTCTATTCCATTTTGTGCGCAAAGAGATCTATTGCGGATCGAGCTATCAAGAGAGCAATAGTTTTATCCTCCCTGTATCTTGATAAAGCTCCTTCAAATTTACCTACTCTTACTCTCATCCCACCCTAAAAGTAAATAAGAATTTTATTATTTTAACGCATAGATAAGAAATAAAAAAGGAAGAAAACCAACAATATTTACCTTACACTGTCCTAATATTGTACGCTTTCTAAATCCCCCGAATAAATCAATCCCTCCGTCACCAGGTTCGTGCCTATTTATAAAATAAATGAGTACATGTATCATAATTATCAAGATATATCATCTGGCGGAGCACGGTATAATATATCATGTATCCTACTCACCACAGTTCTGGCGGAGCACGGCAACTTTTCGGTAACGAAGAAGAACGTTCACAGCAGGCCGTGCCAGGGCTGGGTACCTGACTGGCAACTTTCGCAAGCCGTGGCCACGAAGCGCTTTCAATTCTCTGATTTACACCTAGTGGCAGCGTAACTTCAGATACATAATAATTCAACAAATACTCACCTAGGTCGACGGAACTCAACACCGAACTCGAAACTTGTCATTTTGCTTACTGATATATAAAAAATTTATTTAAATAAAAGATCAAATCAATAGAATATTACATGCATAAAGTTAATACCTTAAATGTTAAATTATTATGATAAACCGATAAGAGAGAAATCGAGAGTGAGATATGAGAGTGAGAGAGAAGAGAGTGAGTTGTCATAAGATTGATAAAAATCAGTGGGTACACAATTTGTGTAATGTGATCTTCACGTGATTGCGTAATCTACACAAGCCACAAAATTTTTGTATGGTTCTTTATTTATGGATTTCAGAGAATAAGCAGTAACTCCTCAGGCTATGCGCTATTTTTTTTTTTCGATTGATTTCTTCTCTGGAAAGATGTTCCTAATATATCGCTATGAATAACGATAACGCTAAGTCAACTATATTTGGAAATCATCTGCAAATTAATATTAAAGCTAAATCTGTATGCAACACAAAAGATCAGCACATGACACAATCTAGACACAATCGTTCATTGGCAAAAAGCAGCGCATAGCCTGAAGAGTTACTCTTACTCTATTCCCTCTTACTCTACTCCCCAAGCTTTAAAAAATTTGTTTCCGTGCCCAATTATTTTAGCGGGCAAATTTGCCCGCTAAAATGGAGGGCTAATAAGGAGTGCGGAGAGATTCACCTCAAAGCCGTTTCATCGACGAGGTGTCACGCGCGTCGTATTCTTCTTGCTCCGCTCGAATACATACGACTAAAGGACTATAAAAACGTGAGCCATTAAACTAATTCTGTGTTTCCTATGTGAGGTTTCAAGAAGGGTTAATATTAACTGAGCGGGTACGTTAAAAGTTGGTTCCGGTTTTACAATACAATTTTTGCAACAATGATTTCTAATTCTAATATTGTATTATGTATTAGAGATATCGCAGAGGAACTGATAATAATATCTGCAAGATGGGATCATAGATTTTCAGCAAAAAAAATCGTGCCCGCCTGTAGCAAAAAATTGCATCATGAACATCCAGAATGTTATACAACGCAACAAACCTTTGTTGCCATTCCATATTACGCACGTACGACAGCTCTTGAACCAAATCTTTGCAACGACGACTCGGTTTATCGACTACATAGCCGACGAAGAGTTCGCACAAGAACAACAAACGCGTATATGATATTAATCTCTAGCAATACGAATCATCAAGAATCTTCTCAGATACTCCGGCTTCCACACATAGAGTGATCGTACTAGTAGATGAAAACGCACCCCCCCCCCCCCTTTCCAATCCTCACCCCCCTCTTGTTGTTTACAGTGAGACGCTTTCCAGAGGTCAGCTATAATATACAACGACAAAAAAAATAATACTCTCAAACCCCCTCTCTCGAAGTGGTATGTATTCCGGGAAGATGCAACATTATGTTCCCCCCAATTTACTTATCGTCCACACCCACTCTTTTTGTTACAGTGAGATGCTTTCCTTACCCAGAGGTCAGTATAATATACAATGACAAAGAAAATAATAATACTCTCAAAAAACCCCTCTCTCAAAGCGGTATGTATTCCGGGAAGACACAAAATTATGTTTCTGTTTATTTTCTCTCTGACACCACCACTACCACACGCACATCCTATCCAAGCTTACTGTTCCTTTCAACAAACTGTCGTAAACTTATTATCTTAGCTTATAGTGTTGACTATCATTAATTCAACGTAAAGTTAAAATCATTAAACTAACCGTCCCCTCTTATATTTGGTCCTAATAGTATACATAATACTACTTGATCCCGCCGAAAAAAAGAGATCGAAGGGCCCCCGTCCGCATAATTGTTTCATGCTCTACCGAAAAGATATAAGAGCAAAATTCTCCGAGAAGGTAATGCATTATCCGTTGCCGATTCTTCTCGTATCGCCGCAGAGAAGCACTTGTCCTTTCCAAATGGTTGAGTTGGTACTCGAGTGTATAATGATACACTAACACGTTATTTTAATAGGTTGGTCTATGAATCTGCTCGGCCATACAGGGCAATAACGTTCTATGGTCTATTCCGGGTTATTTACAATCCTGACTACTCCCGTAATAAATCTCATTGACTTGTCTTTGGGATGAACGAATTGCCACAGGGAGATATGTATATTTGATTTATATTCCAGCATTATTGTTAAATCGAAACCAATTGGTGTCAAAGTCAAAATTACCAGATGCCTCAAAATTGTTAAAGCCTTGAAACGATAAAAAGAATCAAACTGGATTCTAAATCGATAATAAATAAATCATATACCATCTTCAATAGTCAACGCTATGAACAGAAAAAAAACTCACCTTTCTCACCAGTCTGATTTTAGTAATGTAATAAATGCATCGACATCCAATCACTTCTGCGATTTTCAATTCCCCGCTTTCGAAATAAAAAAGCAATTAGATCTTACTATTGCTACTGTCCGTACTCACCAAGGGCTTATTCTTTTTTTAATATTCGATAAGCTTCTCTGATAAAATCGTTCCCATAAGCGACAAACAGAATATTGCAACATCGAAAGGCTCATCGGGCATTGGTAGCTACGTTAATTAAAAAACACACGGTTATTTGTAATGACCTAGATCCTCCCCAGTCCTTCTCTCGTGTATTTTTCTCGCTGTAACGTACCTTATCGATATCGCGCTTAACAATCCTATCACCACCGCTCAAATCAAATGATTTTCTGCTATATTTCCTTCTCCGCATCCTAAATCAGCCACAACAGTATCTTTTGGCTTGCGAGCAAATACTCAATCATCACGCCGGCCAATGCCTCCACAGCTGACCGGGAACAGCGATGGAGTTGATGCAAATAGTTTATATGCTGTTGCACTTGTTGACGTGTATAACTTTTCGTTTATCCAGCGAAAGCGTGAGGTGGTTAGGGATTTCTTTGAATTAGCAGCATATGATTTAGACTGTATGTTTGAAGTGTTTGCAGATACAGCTGAAGAAAGAGAAGCTTGTTGAGTAGTTGATATATGATGGTGGTTTTGAATATTGACATCCGAGCCATTGAACAATTCTGTATCTTGGGAAAGAATCAAAGAGATCCGCTCAATTAACACAAAACATAGTTTCTTACTTGAACATATGTTGTTTGCTCCTTTATCTGCAGATGTCCATAAACAGAATCAGCATTCTACAACACCTTTCAAAATGCAAAATTCTTGTACCACATTCAGAAAATTTTATATAAACCTTTTTGATTCGATTCTGTATTGGAAAATTATGTCTTTCGGAATAATGAAAGTTGAACGTAAACCCCAAAGTTTCGAATTCTACCGCGAGATTCTTAAATCTGCTAAATACTTTCTCGCTCCAATGGTTGATCAATCAGAATATGCCTGGCGAGTATTATCACGTCGGTATGGGGCTCAAGTGTGTTATACGCCAATGATAAATGCAAGAATGTTTGCTGATAGGAATGGCCAGCGATATAGAGATGAAATTTGGTCGACCGGCGAAGGAGATCGGCCGCTGATTGTCCAGGTATTTTAAGAAAATGATGGTAGAGGAAGGGAATGTTTGGAGAGGTATGATCAAATTAGTAAGATGGAGGATGATAAAAGTCGGCATGATAAGAATCGGAAAAGTCTCTATTGAAATCAGGAAAGAGAGATTAACTGTCTTACTTATGTCTTGTAGTTTTGTGCAAATGATCCAGAGTCGTTACTAAACGCAGCGTTGAGAGTGCAAGATCATTGCGATGCGATTGATTTAAACCTGGGTTGTCCTCAGCATATTGCTCGCCGTGGACACTATGGGGCATTCTTGCAGGACGAGTGGGACTTAATCTATAATCTCAGTAAGTTAATTATAGCACTGATCTTTCTAGTTTAACATTTGCATTTTTGCTTTGGCCTTCAATCTGCGGCCAGCGAACTTGCCAACGTATTTTACTCATGCCAATCTAATCGTACAAATGTTTTGCCATCTCTCTTTCAGTAAACACTCTTCACAAAAATCTTTCAATTCCGGTCACGGCCAAAATACGAGTTTTCCCGGATGTAGACAAAACTATTCGATATGCAAAAATGATAGAGAGTGCAGGAGCGCAGTTGCTGACAGTGCACGGTAGAATTCGAGAACAGAAAGGCCACAAAACGGGCCTAGCCGATTGGGAGCAAATACGACGTGTGAAGTATGTGTGATGGTACTGAATTACTTGTGGATTTTTCAACTGGTAAGCGGTAAATTTAAAGCTGGTCCATCAAGTTGCTGACACTGAATTTTTGTATCTTTTCAAAATAGAGAAGCTCTTAATATACCCATCATAGCCAATGGGAACATCTTATACTTTGAAAACATCGAACAATGCATACGCATGACTTCAGTCGATGGTGTAATGACAGCAGAAGGAAATCTCTACAATCCAGCTATTTTTGCCAACATTAATCCTCCGATATGGCAAATGGCAGAAGAATACCTTGAGATATGTCAACATACTCCGACAAGAATTCCATATATTAGGGGACACTTGTTCAAGATATTTCGTCCCGCGTTGTCTATACATACGGATATAAGGGATTCACTGGCTAAAGTGAATAAGCTTGAAGAATTTGTAGAATTGACCAAGGAAATGAAGAGAAGATTATTGGTATGTATGCTTCGAATGAAGGGATGGAAGTGAATTTCCAAGTTGGAAGAAGCGTTGCCACTAATCTGCTTTTGCGTCGCGATATAATAGATCGATGTCGAAAAACACAAACAAGAAGACAATGTCGACGTAGATGAAAAGGGGTATAAAATCTTTCCTCATTGGTTGTGTCAACCAAACATAAGAACTCTTAAGGACGAGCCATCGATAGAAGAACATAAGCGTAGAGACGAGAGGACTGTTCAGGATGATGCTGATGAGCAAGAGACACTATCAAATGCAATGGATATATTTAATGAATTATAGCAAGATACATGTGCTGTTATTTTATAGAAAAAAACATAGTAATAGGCATTGTTTAGTTGATCTAATTAATGTAGAGAAAATTAATATTGCAGTAAGTCAAAGTTTATACATTTCATTATTAGCTACGTTGTGTTGATTATTTCTTGAATGGCACTCCATAAAACTCTTTTCTTGTCGGAGAGACGTCCGGGGTTGCGTATCTCTTAATATTACCTGTTGAAAATATAGGGAATAGTAAGAAGATATTAAAAACAACAAAGACATTGCAGGTGTGATATATCTGTAGCCATTATTATGATTGATGAAATTATAATAGTAAGTATCCTCGCTACTTAATCAGTGACTGCTGTGTTACCTTGCAATCCTACATTCTGCATTCCAACAAGTTCTTTCTGCACTTTCTCGATATTCATAAAGTATTTGACAGTCTTCACGTGCAATTCGAGTGTAGCATCTTCGTCACAAGCAATAAGAGCTTTCTGATGAAGTTGTATGGCGGAGACTGTCCACATATGATTCACACCTTTACACGCAACATGGATGTTAGGATGGATGGCTAACAATTCTTGATCTGATCCATTTTTTTAAATATTCATTTTACCTTCTTCGATGCACTTGGCCAGAGCCAGTGCCTTATGTGCTCCCGTAATGATTATAGCAACTTCACGTGCTTCCATAACCGTACCAACTCCAACTGTTAGAGCCATTCTGGGCACTTTGTTGATATCGTTACCGAAGAAGCGAGAGTTCGCCAAGATGGTGTCATAAGCCAATGTCTTAACTCTTGTGCGAGACGTCAGCGAAGATCCTGGTTCGTTGAAGGCGATGTGACCATCCGGACCAATGCCTTTGTTGTTTCGGTTGGTAATGTTGAGGGAAATCGAGACAATTTAGAATGATTAACTGACAACTTTGTCGCTGACTAGTCGATAACTGAAAAACGATTTTCACAGTCTATCCTCCAAAACTCTTGTACGGAATACCAATTTACCTCCAAGAAATAATTCGATTCCGCCAGCCTTTTTAATCGATTCTTCGTATCTAACACATTCCATATCGAGGTCTTCTGCATTGCCATCAAGAAGATGAACATTCTGAGGGAGAATATCAATGTGCTTGAAGAAATGGTTCCACATGAACGAATGGTAACTTTCTGGATGATCTCTATTGTGTGATAAATTTTACGCGATTTTTATGAAATAGTTCAATGATTGATTTTCCATGTCTTATATCTTTACTGTCTTTACATACCTTGGTAAGCCAACATATTCATCCATATTAAATGTGACCACATTCCGAAAACTCAACTGATTGTTACGATAATACTTTACTAGATTCTTATAAACCCCCACCGGGGACGATCCAGTGGGTAATCCGAGCACAAAAGGACGTTCTTCAGTCGGATTGAATTCGAGTATGCGATCTCTAATATATGAAGCTTTTTAATTGCCCTAATGTGAGTAGTCCATTATTCGAGCCTGTTAATGGGATTTATTAGTAATGCATGTCTTTACCCATGTGTTCACTGACTTCATCGTAATCTTTTCGGATTATTAGACGCATTGCGGATATAAGCCTTGAATGGTAAAAGAATTATTTTGGCTACAAGCTACGTATCAGAAGTATTCAAGTATATGTCTTAGTTAGTATACGTTCTTATAGTTAGTGATGTTTACAAGAAACTTGACAAGTATGTCTTCGGCACGCTCTCTGGTTTGCTGATCATAACAGTAGAACGCGCACCAAACACGGTGTTTGACCGCGTGAAGCTCTCGTGGATGTTGGTATAGAAAGAATTATTAATACGCAGATCAGTATTTATATTATTATTTTTATACGGTAAATTTCGCATTATCGGGATGCACTTTTTTGTGCGATCCGAATAAACAACAGTTGTTGCGTAAATCCCCATATGAGAGAGCTCTTTTATGCAAATGATCTACCAATAGTCACAATAGTCACGTAACAATTGTCCGCGTTTCGAACTGCGGTAGTACTAAAGTAATATATGAGCGGGAGTTAGTCTTTATTCATGATAGACTTATGCATGGTAGGACCTTATTTATGAGAGTTTACGGTATATTAAATATAAAAAGTTAGAAAGATGTCCCTAGACCGCTTGACTATATTTTTTACTCGTTTGTTATTGTATTAGTCAATCGCCCGTCATTCTCACTTAAATATTACTCGTATTGGCGATTATTTCTATAAATATTTCTTTGTGCAGATCACCCCTCATTAAACAGCATTCCCGAGTGTTTCGAAGAACGTGATCAAAACGCTGCTTTTGATAAGTCGTAAATTATCCCGGTCATGTGATCGAGATTCTCGTTAACAATTTTCACAAGTCTGAATACGCGTTGTTAGATTTCTGGAACTGTGATGCTGCCTGAAACGGTTGAAGCCTGGACAGTAACGTTGGATCAATTCAATCTTTACTGGATCGAAAAGCACATATGATTTGGCTCACGCGTTAAGGCAATTGAAGCAAATATATGAAAATATCCCCGTGAATGTTGTTGGCTTGATGCAATTGACAGCGTACTCCAAGCTAATCCAGCAGCCGTGGGTTGAGAAGGTTTTGTTTGGCTGGGCCGTGGCGTCCGTGGCTTCTTGTGAACTTTCTTCTTATCCAATACCTCGAAATGCGTTTATTAAATCTGTTGGATTGCTATTTAACTGTTTTGTTTTGTTTTTCATGTAGATTGTTACAAAAAACGAATCAAACGGGAATCTGATTCAAGTACTTCGGGGATTTTAATATTTTAGTACTTGATGTAAGGAAGGTACAGTACATTGATGTATCCTCCTTATGCCTAATTGGTGGTGTACTCTCTTTATAAGAATTTTTTTGTATGGACTGATGCCACTTGTGCTTTGGTTATAAGGGCCGATTTTGCTTTTCCCTTATGAAGAGAGTTGACCTGTACATATATTAATATCTACCTGGTCAAATATTAATACTGTATTCTGAAACAAGTATTGGTAAGTTTTAAACATTTTATATCACCAGAATGCTGTTGACATTGCTTTAAAATTCAGAAAAGTGCAGCTGGGAACATCAATATCACTTATACTTACAGCAGCAATAGCAATAGGAACACCAGTGTAATTGAGAAAGAAAAGAGGAAGATGTAGAAATTTTGGCAGTAAATCATAAATCAATGTCCATCTCTGAAACAAGCTCATCCATCAACACTTCCAGAATGTCTTCATATGTAAATAACTTGCATTTGTTAGTAACTCTTAGAGTATCCATGAATCACTTGTTCATTATTCTTTTGGCCAGCATTCTTGTCAGCTATAAACATCATGACTGGTGGGTTTATCCAGTCGCCATTTCCCTCACTTGTTGAATTTTAGACTTTTTCCATATTGATCCAATTTATACATCGCCTATAATTTTCTGAAGTCGTTGCTCGGATTGCATATGTCTTCTACATCAGCAACTGAAGACACCTTCTTTTGAGCTGCAAAATATGCGTATATGACGCGCATACGCGTTTTGCAATAAATCGACTATCTATTTTGTTAGCAAAAATATTGTAAATAAGTGAACATCTTATTGACTACCTCCAGGCACTCTCCAGCCTCTGAGGAAACAGGACCTTCCTTATGCTTCACAGGGCACCGATCTGTTGTATTAAAAAACAGGATGTGGTTAGACAGAAAATTATCAATAAACTCACGAGAAGAAAAGATTGCGTCGTAATCGTTGATGTAACCGCTCGATTTTCGCCTTTATTAAAAAATCTTATCTGAGGTAGCCCGTACTAGCGCCTAAAAGATTTGGAAATTGAATAATGTTTTGGGACGATGGTGTTCCTTAACTCTTGCAAAATAAGGAGTAAACAATAATAACGGAAATTTTTTTGACTGCAAACAGTAACAACCACATTTCGAAGCTCTGTAAAGTTATGCAATGCCTAGCATCAGAGTCTGGAGGATTGATCACGTAACAGTAACTTAATATATAAAAATAAGTTTACGCAATTGATGGTACTGGCGAATGATTACCGTATACTATCGTGAATAAGCACCCTAGATCGTGTAAGTATATAATCGTTTACTGCAATTATTGTTGTAAGCTGCCCCTTAACATTGTTGTGGATTATACTTTACGTAATGATTTACCGATCATTTTAATAATGCCGATAAGAGTTGACGTGAATAACGTTGAATGAGGAATATGTAGACTGGATGCTTCATATCGAACATGATACGATCTGTATTATAATTGTTAAAACTATTCAAATGTCACTAATGCAAATTGAAATACCAATTTACCATATATGGTATCACTCATTCTAAAGGTCATTCGCCCCCCCTTCACTTAATAGGTTAGCAATTACCTCCCCTAATACTAATATGTGTTACACACGGATCGGTTATTAGTGTTAACATTGAGAATGCAATTGTACTTATTCAAACGATGTGTCGTTAGTCAATAATCCAGCAATTGACAACTTGGTTCAATCCTTAAGACTTGAATGGATTGCTTACGAGGAAATCACCAACATAGAGCCAACTCAAATTGACAATGTCTACTATGCTATTCGCAAGCAACGTTATGAAGACAAGATAATGCTGCTATTCCTTGGAAGTAGCGAAGAATGTACACAAACACTTGTTAGTGAGTTTGCCAGAATATACTCACTTCCAACACACAAGCACAACAATTACGTTAATCAGTTCAGAAGATATAAGGAATGGCTTAAATTGCGCAACTTGTCAATAATCGGCTTTACCGAGTATGATAACAACTATTACATGGTTGCCTACAGACGCTTTTACCATTGTTATTCTCGATATGGATTCTGCTCCGCATGTGGAATACTCCGATGTAGTCCAGTGTGGTGCATTTGTGGGCGTAAACAATTATTCAGTGGATGGACTAGCAGCAATAAGCAACTCGACGAGTTTATCAAGAAATCTCAATTACAAACAAACTCACCAAATGATGTCTATTTGGAATGGATTCCATTCGATTGCATTCATGG